AGTAGTGAAATGTGTAATGGTCTAGAGTTTGCGCGGTGGCGTATTGGCGTTGTTGACCCATTACTGTTTTGCGACTGGTTTTCCTCCATTGGAACACCTACTTGTTTGGTGGTAGGCCCATTGTATTCCAACGGGACTGGGGAACGTGGGTTGTCAATCCTAGTTCCGTTTAGCAGAGCCGGTGGAGGGTTTGTCGCGGGGGGAGCCRGGGGGTGCCCCGGTGGTCTCGCGGTGGACTTCGTATGCTGAGAGGATGCGAAGGCCTTTGCGGTGTTCGTATTGGCATGGTTGGGCGTTGTGCCATGCAGGAAAGAACTTGCTACCGAGMTTTTGCTGGGTGAGGGCGTCGGCGGTGGCGTATCATTTACCTGGGTTGATGAGGTGGTGTTTTACGACGTCGCCGAGGTGGTATCCGTGTTGGATGCGTTGCTCGTTATCGATGTGGTTGGGGTGGCGCTGCGCGATGACGAGGAGGTGGCAAGGGGCRTAGTACATGGCCACCGTGGTGTGGTGGAAGACGTTTCGGGGGCCGAGAGACGAGGTTTTGTTGATCGCGTCGCATGTGAGTTCGAGGAGGACGGGGTTGGTGAGGCGGTTTGCGGCCTGTTCGGTGAGCCTGCCGCGCCATTTGTAGTAGTTGGGGGTGAGGAAGTACCGGAGCGGATGGATGGGGAGGGGACTGAGGTGGAAGGTGTGTTTCCAGTCGGTGGGGAAAGCGGGTGGGCTGGACGCCCGGGGAGGGAGCTCGTGGTCRAACTGGTAGCGGCTCTGTCTACCGGCGTTGAAGAAATCGGCGGTGCGATCGGAGTCGTTGCCGATRCACCAGGCTGCTAAGGCCATGCATTTGGACCACGGATTGGTGTATTYGTGGAGGACCGGGAGGTCGTGTTTTGGTGGGCGCRCGAAGTAGCCTGTGTACATGGACTGGAATTCAYGTGYGTCGTAGATGGGCTCGGTGTGGCCGTTTGGCTCCCTGTAGATATTGTCCACGGCGGAGATGTAGGTGTGGTAGGGGCCCGTGCGGGTGCGTTGGTGTTCTGGGCTGGTGGATGGGCTGGCGTCTGTAGCGTCCTCGTCGTTGGCCCCTTCGACTGCCGGGGGTTTGCCGGGAGTCTTGCAGGGGGTGTGGTCGGGGAGGTCGATGTTCCAGAGGTCTTCGTTGACGGCAGTGTAGTTGTAGTTGTCGATGGTGGTATCGGGTTGTTTGGGCGCCGTGGCTCTGGGGTTTTTGGATGTGTCGCGTTTGGTGGTTTTTGGGGGGAGTTTGAGGTCGGAACTGTCGGAGCTGCTGGAGAGGACGAGGTCGACCGGGTCTCCGGAGGAGCCGGAGGAGTTGATTTTTAGGTCGGGTGGTGGGGCTCTGGCGGATACGGTCTCCTCTGGGCGGCTCTTGGTGGCTGGCGGGGATGCGGCAAGCCATGTTTCCTTGGCCAGGATGTTCCCGAAGGCGCGGACGAGGTGGGTGCGGAGCGCTTCGGAGATGGTGCCCGCGCGTTTGAGGATGGCGAGGTTGGTTTCGAAGTTGTCGTAGACGAGGGTTGCTGTGCGGTYGAAGTCAATCTCGCGGATGATCGCGGTAGCGATGAGGTCATGGGGTCTGATCTCGTCAGGGGCGGCGGCGATGGCCGCAAGGAAGGCGGTTTGGCGGGCCTCGGCAAGGGTGGATTGGAGCATGATGCGAGCGGAGGGTTGGGGCTTGGGGTGTTTGAGGATTGCGTGCGTTTGTTTTTGTGGGCAGAATGGTGGGTGGCGGGGTTGCGATGGTGTCACGCGGTGTATCGTGGGGGGAGGGCGTCAGGAACGTAAGTAAGGATTGACGATCCGTGGTTTGCGAGGTGGGGTCATGTTAGAGACGGCTGTCATGGTTGCTGTCTTGGGTTGGGGTACTGCGAAGCAGTGTGGCCGGGGGGGTTTTACGTGGGAGTGCAGGGGATGCGCTTCTTCGGTGGGAGGACGTCTTGGGTGGGAGTGCGGCGAATGTTGTGATATGGGACTGTAGCCGCCATGTGGGTAGAGACCCCGTGGGAGAAATGTGCGAGTTGCTCTTGGATGTAGAGGAGGAAAGTGTCACTCTTCCAAYGGCCGAATTTGCGGATGGTGGTCGCGGGGACGCCGTTGAGGTACATGGCCATGGCCCCACCCGACCGTAAGCTGTGGGTGCCGACTGCGTTTGGGGAAATGCCGGCGTCGTGGAGCTGGAGCGMGCGTGCGGCTTGTTGGATCGCGCRATTGAGGTCGCGCGCTTTGAGCGGGACTGGGGTGTTTGCGGGTTTCGGGATATAGGAGCTAATGCATGTGGTGAGTGGGGCGCCGGCRTCCAAGAGCGATTTCATGCGGACGATGAGGGTGTGTACTGGGCAGAGCGGTCCCGTGCTGCGTTCATGGTGGACGCTTTCCATACGTTTTCCGTTCTTTTGGTTGCGGAAACAAAGGGTGGCGGCTGTGCAGGTGGCGAGGAGCTCGTGGCGCGGGAGCGCGGGGTCAAGTCGTGCAGTGCCGTTCCAAAGCGTGATGTCGGTGAGTGTGAGGGGAGTGGTTTGGCGGGCCGAGGGTKTTAGTGGGGTGGTATATTCCCCGACGCGGAGGAGGAAAAAGAAGGCGATTACTRCTGTTTCACCGATTGCCCGAGTCTTCGGGCAAGGGGAGTTTTGTCCGAGGCGGAGGAGGTAGTGGGGGAGTGCGACCGGGACTGCCAGTCGTGGTTGGGGGGGGGGTCGCTGCGTTCATATCCTGCCAGAAGTTGCTGAATGGCTTTAGGGTAGGCTTCTTGCGGCGATCCCAACAGGCTTTGTTGTCCAGCCAGTTGGAGCGTCGTGGAGATGGCCCGGAGCGCATGTTTGACGGTCTGGGTGCGAACTTGGTGGTCACTGCCTGTGACTCGGCCAGACCGAACATCGTGGGCGTAGGCAACCAGCATTGGGATTTGTTGGGGTCTCGGGGCGTTGAGGAAGGGTCCGATGGTGGGGAAGTGAGTTCCCACCCATTGGGTCCAAAGGTGCCAAAGGCGCCGTCGCGTACGCGTAGTCGCGTCCATGACGCCAGCGGTGACGGCTGCATTCGAAGTACGGAAAAGATCTTTGATGCAGTTGAGGTGGGGTAGTGGTACAGAGTCCAGTAGCCGGGCTGTGGGGGAGGGAAAGCGGTTGTGAACGAGGACAGGAAGGTTTCCGGGTGAGTCGG